AAGAAGCCGACATCGGGAAAATCTAAAATTCAATTAAATAATTAATATGACCCGTTGCACAAGACTCAGTGGCTCTCATGGCCCAAGTGATCTAATGGATAACGCTTTGGCGTTTGAAACTACGGGCATTGAGTTCGTGCCTCGGTGGCAAATGCAGGTACATCCGGTTAGCTGACGAGTCCCAAATAGGATGAAATGCGCGATATCCTGGATTCCACTGCTAGTCACCATCCACAAATTAAATTCTAACTATATATATTACTGACTAATTATCATGAGTAGCTGGATCTATCGCATTAACTAGTAGTGTTTCACTAGATAAATCTTAATGATCTAATCACCAGAAGGGTATTTGGCTCATTTACAGTCAATCTCATCAGTGATATAAACCTGTATGACTCACCTCAAGGAGGGAAATTAGTTAGGAGCACTTAAATTCTAACAGTCTACTAAGACAAACTTGCCATGCATTGAATAAATACTTTGCACTCTGCAAATTCGATTCAATGCCTTTCAATATTCCTATTTATTATACTTGTAAATCCCATATTGATTGAGGAAATCAACTTTGGCAACTCAGAGCAGAGTTGGTTCTCGCCAGGCTGATTTTCTCAGCTAACTATTTAAATATGCTTTGAAAGCATTAAAGTCTTGTTAATATTCATTGAGATTAAACAAGAGATATGAATTTATGTGATCCAGTGAGTTTACAGTTGGACTTAATAAATCCCATTATTGCTAATGCATTATATGTTGATGATATCTGACTGTGAGTAAAAAATTTATGTACTTTTTTCTAAATCATTAAGTGATGTTTAACGTTGATAAAAAGATACCAATTAGACAATACAGCTTAGTAAATGATTTCAAAAATTATGCAACCTGAGTACCTCGAAAGTTTTCAATCTCGCATTTGTTCAAAGCATTACATTTCAATGTAAACGTTAAGTCAGTTCTTTTATACGGATCAGAAACTTGGCGGGCGGGTCACAAAGAATATTTCCAACAGCCTGTTGCAGACCTTAATCAACCAACAACGGTCTTCGCTGGATCTATACTGAAGATCAGATGGCCGGGCCGGTAAAAATCACCAACAAGAAACTATGGAAACAAACAAAACAAGAACCAATCGCCCAACAAATATGCAGGAGAAAGTGGAGATGGATTGGACACTCACGGGTGAGGAGGACGCTGAGTGACATCGCGCACTCATCAGGCCATTGCTCGAAAAGGAACCCGAAAGGGAAGCGGCGAGTGGGACGTCAGTGCAAGGGTGACATGGAGGAGATCGTGTGAAGAGGAGTTGAAACAGTATGAACTAACATGCATGAAGGTGAAAAGTACAGCAGATGACAAAAGCAAGTGGAGAAGTGCAGCTGAAGCCCAATATTCCACTAGAAACCCAAGGAAACAATAATAATAATGATTACATTTCTGACGAGAATGCATACGGAGGTGTCGTAAACTAAAGCACAGACAGTTTGTCAGAAAAGCCCCAAAACTGGCTATTTACAGTCAATCCTACCAGATAAGATTCATCTGAAACACAAGCAAAGTTGGATAGACTGAATATACCGACAAATCATGAATTCTGTGACTTTAGACGTAAGATGAGCTGTGAAATAGACGGTTATACTGGTTCACTTTTCTCGACGTTGTGGCAACTAATAGCTCGTAACTCATTTTCTTTTATGCCTTCACGTTCCCAGTGGACATAAGGCTTCAAACTAGAGGCTTGTAGTTCCGGTAGCACTGGTATTCATTTTTACAGGATAGGGTTGCTAGGATCATGCCAATCTTTCCTCTTTACCAGTCTCATTACTGGCTTTGGAGAGGTAAAGAAGTGCATCAGTGGCCAGGGATCGAACCCCGAACTTCGTGGGGCGTGGTTGCCGAGCACTGTACCGTTGTACCACTGACGCACAACTTTGTAAGTTTGTATTTTGTTTGACCCCCGGCCACCTTCACAAGCTGTATACGGAGGACTTCTAAACACTGTTTATTAAGATGTGTCTCTGTTAACAATTATCACATTGATCCTTGCAAGTATGATCAAGTTAAGTGTAACTTTTAGATGACCAACATTGCAAACTTGACTGATAGAATGCAGTCCGCACCACAGATAAGACTAGAAACATTACACTGGTTACTAACTAATGTCTAATCACAAGTCTGTCTGTTTGTCTTTTTTCGACATAGAACTTCGCACCGATGTGCACCAGTTCAAGTCGCCACACTCCTTCCATGTAGCACACAAAGCAAGAGAAGAAAGTAGAAGAAATGCAAAATAGAGACAGTAGATACAGATATGAGGCAAAAGGAATAGTAATTACGAAGAACAATATAGTTTCAGTGGAAATCATACGTCACAAGGAGTGGATGCATCTGCGCTGGCCATTGAGAACTATTTTGAGCCATATCATCAATTGTTTCCAACCACTGGTTTTTACCGTCTCGAGGAACCCAAGTAGTCAGGAAGTCTACACCTTCCTGCGTGGCTTAGACTAACTGTTGTAGATTTCATTGACTGGTGCCATGTTTTGGTTTGACACAGGTATCGAATACAGTCCTACAGGGGGTCAATCGCGAGCCCAAATAGCTCAGTAGTAACGTCTCTGACTGGAGCAGCCATTGCTTAACACGGATTCAAACCTCAGAAGGGACATGAGTTCCTTCAAGCTGTTTGCAGATATGCTTTGCCGACTGGTTAGTGCCAACTAGCATGGAACCTAGGTCAAGTAAGGCTTCCTGCCAATCGCCGCCAACCATCTAATATGATCCATATTTAGGTTGTAAGTAGCTGAGATGAATCGAACAAAATAAATGATGGCCTCGTATCATTCTGCACAAGCACTTCTATTCTCTATGTTTTAATTCATAAAGAAGAATAAATGGATGAACCATATATATATAATATATATATATATATATATATATATATACTACTGTACAGCTTCATAAAACATTTGTCGGAAAGATCCTCTTCACTGAATATTAACTCTCATTCTGCTCATTTGAATTTTAGATTTTCTCTTCGATTGATTGGACCGAAGTGCTCGGTCTCAGGTTGGCATGTCGGCTTCTTGTGCAGATGCTCCGATCATGTCTAGGCATGCAATTAGAATTTAATTTGTGGATGGTGACTAGGACAACGCGCATTTCGTCCTACTTGGGACTCGTCGGCCTCGAAGGGAGCATCATAGTTCACTGGGGAATGCAGGTACGTCCAGATGACGAGTCCAAAATAAGACAAAATGCGCGTTGCCCTGGATTCCACTGCTAGTCACCGTCCACCAATTAAATTCTCATTTTATTCCCCTCAAAAACTTGGGGAATACTATAAAGACAGGATAAGATATTGAACAAAGAATATTCTTTCTCTACTAACTTCTTTACAGTTTTCTACAGTTTATATATGCACATAATATTTAAAAAGGAATTGCCATAGCCATTTTTAATGGTGGAAATATTTTGATGAAATTAGTTCTGTGAATTTCTCAGGTTTCCTTATTTTCTATGCAACACGTGACACAGCTGACCTTCGTTGAGATTTATTCCCACCGTCAAATAATCACTGTGGTCACCTTTTTCAGTAACTCGTTCTTATCAATTATTTATCTTTCGATAAAGAAAGGAAGACGAAATTTGCATGTAATTCTATTTCACAGGCTCTCATCAGCTGCTGCAGACCACCTGAAGTTACACTGGTTATACAGATGACGAAAATAACATACTTTAATGTTTGAATGGTAGTAGAGAAGAAATAAAATTGACGCATCCAAAATGCAAGGATTACAGTTTTTAGTTTAAGTTTTCATTATCAATTTATACACTTTTAAAGTTGAAAAGAAAGGGAGGGGTAAGATAGAAAACAGAAACAACTGATTAACAGAACAGTGTTAACTTGTAGGTTCACATAGCAACTCTAAAAAACAAAGGCGGTTACAGTTTATGAGATTAAGATTTGTTCAGTGAGTTGATATCACTGAATTAAATGATTAATTATTGTAATCAAAATCAAAATTCAGTTACCAAGCGAGTGAGAGGTTAATCACACTCTCTTTCTGTATGCATAAGTCTGGTTTAAATCATTTGATTGCAATCGCTTCGGCGAATCGTAGTAAATTTGCTGTCCTTTGTCGATTTAATATTTTGAAGGACTTAAAAATCTCTGCGAGATGTCCGATATCAACAATGTGTCTGGTAATTGCACTCTGGGAATATCTGCTTCCTTTCAGGCACAGGTTTCTTGGAATATGTTCAGAAAACCGGATAGAAGCCCTTCTTTCTGTCCTTCCAATGTACTTGCTCCCGCAAGTGCACCTAAATTCATAAACGCAGTTGGAGGTGACACCACCAGGGTATTTATCCAGTTTTGAGTGGATTATAGAAGCAGTAGTGCTGTATACTGTTATGAGTTTTGCTGCAGGTGGGAAGCTTCTATTTATTACACCTTTCATTCTTTTGTCAATCTTTTGTGACACTGCATCTCCTTTGAATGGGAGACAAATAAACACTTTTTTTCTTTTACAGTTGGATGCTTTTCTTTCTTATCTTTTTCTCTGCTATACTTCTGTATAAATCCCTTAGGGTATCCATTTTCCCTTAGGCATTTCTCGACGAAATCTAATTCTTCTTCGTGCCTTGTTTGGTAAACATACCTTCCTGGCTGTGTCGTACAAAGTCCTCACTAATCCACGTTTATAGCTTGTGGGACAAAAGCTGTTATAGTGAAGATATTGTCCAGTCCAGGTTTCTTTTCTATAGATGGACTTTTCGATCATGCCTTCGTTTAATTTTTTTTACATTTGGATCCAGGAAATTGAACTCATTTTTATGTTCATATTCCATGGGGAATTCGATATTTGGATGGATCTCATTTAGGTGATCATATAATGCCAATGCGTGATCCGTGTCGTTGCAAACAACAAGTGATCTTGAAATAAATGATTGATAAGTTCTTCCATTTCGCTTAACTTTTATTTTAATTTATTTTTTAGAAATTTAAATGAGATCACAAATCACTCCGTTAATCATCATCAACAACAACAACAACGTAAAGACGAGTCTCCAGTGAAAGAAGATGGTCGTGAATCAGGCATTGATCCGGATACACTGGATGAAGTGTCGACACCAATACTTGGGAATTCATTAAGCTTGAATGATATGAAATACACAAATGGTAGCAGTAATAACAACAACGCTGGCAAAAGTAATACACTCACAGATGAGATAAACAAACCGAATGTAATTACGGTGCTACGACGTTTAGCACGATGTTTAGCTATTCGTATAGCGAATAAACGGCATAATTTGGCGTCAGCTAATCAACATGTTGCTAGAAATTCTATTGAAGAGAAACTCGTAAGTTTATGCTTATAACACTTTCCTAAATACACTATATATATATAATGTCAGGTCAATATTCCCACATGCCTCAGAGACTCATCACACCCTTTGTTGCTGTTTCCTTTAATTCCTAGAGAAACATAGGCCTTCAGCCACACGTCTCTATTGTGTTCGATTCTCACCTGTCCCAATGTTTTCACCTGGCTCCACGTCTGCTCACATGCTTTCACCTGGCTCCACGTCTGCTCACATGCTTTCACCTCCTCCATGTCACCCTCGCACTGATGACCAACTTGCTGCTTCTCATTCGAGCTCCACTCGAGCAACGGCCTGGCGTGTGATGTCACCCACTTGGTGGTTTCTTTTCTCAGAGTATGGCCATTCCAGTAGTATTTCTTCCTGCTTACTTGTTGCACAGTTGGTTCTTGGCTGGTTGGTTCGCTCACTGCCAGAGATCCCTCCCTGTTGCTGATCTTTTTTGGCCGGCCGGCTATCTGATCTTGAGTAGTATTGAGTGAAAACAGCTGTTGATGAAGTTCTGTAATTTGCTTGAGGTGTCCTTCATGCACCTGTGCACCAAGTCTCTGGAGTTGAAAATCCGGATGTTATTTTCATTCTCATACTGAGAGCTGTTGATCTCCTCCACACCAACGTGATAGTAATGAAAGCTTGCCTTGCTTTTCCGATCCTGGCTCCTTTGAGATCCTGATCAGTTCCGCCCATCTGTAGTTGAAACGATGCCTCCTAGGTCGGTAGGTGAATGTTGTTGCTTCTTCTTTCGTCACACTCTTTACAAAAAGCGTTTCCACGAATTTTATCAGCATCTACCTTCACCTGATAATAAACATTAGCAACAAAGAATACTGGGTACGAATCAATCAAGAACCTATTACCCAGCCAAAAAATAGCTTTAATGTACTCTGAGAAGACCACTGAGGGAAATCATGAGACAGGCTGCAGAATGGGGCCTGAAATGCGAAAACACAAGTTGAGCATCGGTTTGAGGGTAACATGATGGTAATTTTCTGAAACAAGGATGAAAGCTTGTAGTCGGTCGTGAAACCATTTGGGGAAGACTTCAAAGGATGGGGTGGAATGAAGTTGTGCTGTTGAAGGTCTGTTTTCCACTAGGAACCCAATGGAATAATGAACAATAACAGTATTTTGTGATTTAGTTAGTACTGGAGTGGAAATTTAAGCACTTACTAAAAAGAATACAAAAATCTTCCTATTTTATCTTCAAATTGTGAGAGGGAAATTATTTCTAAGCTGACCCACAATATCCTTTAGGTTTATTTAGTTTTAATGAGAACAGTCTCAGTAATATTGACATTCCAGAGTGATATATCTGTCATGTATTGAGGAATTTATTGATGATGTAACGAATAGATTTTTCTTGGAAGAAGTTAATCAGTGGCCTTCATAATACACACCCATGCTTTAGCTACTTAGTAACAAGGCCTACTTACTAATCAGTTCTTTATCTACCCTCAATCCGAAATTGTTTTTTGTCCAACTTTCATATGAATTAGTATTAGGTAGTCTGATGTCATCACACCAACAGGTCATGAATATTTTCTTATCTCATTCCGACGGGGAGCATGTAAATTAAGCAGTACATCTTTATTTCACCTTGTTCTATGCACCCCATTTTCTCTGGTTGTACGATTGTCCATTAGCTCTCATTTCCTCTTCAAAGGATATCGTCCATGTCACCATTTGACTCCATACCTGACTCACTGTTTCACATTCGGGTTCCCCCCTCCCGACCCATTCAGCAGCATGTGGCGTGATTTCACTTGACCATCTCCTCAACGTAATTCCATTCCGACTCCATTTACTAGGGTACATTTTTTGGTTGTTTGATAAACTCTCCACTAATTAATCTTCTCTGCCATCTGATGTTAAGTAGGGAGCCAGAGAAGGCAGGCTATCAATGAAAGACTAGAGCTTGTTGGGAATGCCTTTGATAACACATGCGCCAGGTCTTTGAACCACGTAGAAGTACTGACTGAATAAACACCAGTTTTTGAAAATCCAAGTCATGTTCTTTATGCTCAGTGTAGAGTAATAAAGGTTTCTGAAATCATCATCTGCGCCACCACAGGCAGTTGGAACAATGCTGCCTAGATAGCAGAAAGGAGTAATTTCCTCCGAATTTTCTCTGCTGATGGCAAATTGTTACCTAGGTGTCTTTTTCGCCTCTGTTTTCTCTATGTTCACCTCAGTTCCTGTCTTCGATACCTGCCTCTTCACGCCATCTTGGAGTTTTTGTGATATTAGACATAAATCATCCATAGAATCCAGACCTTTTCTTGTCTGCCTAAAGTACTGTTCTCTTTTCGCTTCCCAATATTCGCCGTATTTAGTTAGCTTTACTAAACTAGAACGGCAAACAGACAGTTAACATTTGGTTAGAGTAATAGATTAAGTAGTAGTTACACCTGAAATAAGATTGAAACTCAACCGGAAGTGAAGCATCCACCTCCTCTGGTCTAACCACTGACATTATATCTCGAGTATTCTCTGATAATATCATTCCTCCGTCATTAGTGCATAGGCTTTAGTGAAACTGATCAACAAACGCAAAAGCCAGACTAGGCAAAAGTCCTCTTAACGAAGCCTTTTCAGTTATCTCTAAAAACGAATGAACATATGCATCATATTAGGTAGTTCTCCGGCTGAATGATTTCATTGACAATTTTACTAATGCAATTGCTAATTAAACAGATGGACCAGATAAGATAAGCATTTCTAACAAATGTGGAGAATTCCATATTAGTTTGTTTATTATTGGATGTATCACACAGTCAGTGAAACAGTATTATTTACTGAATGACGTTTCGAACAAGATTTCTTGTTCATATTCATATCAATTGTAACCATAGGACTTTGAAACTTGAGTTTTATAGTTTTCTTTGTCCACTCCTATTTTTCATCGTTGGGCTAGTAGAATTTTCCAGATATCTGGGTGGACAGGTGTTGAGTCATTCCTGTTATATGTATTTGCAGTTGATTCGATAAACAAAGCTTCTGTTGCCAATCTTTCCCTCCACCCTGTGACATTCGATTTTAAAACTGTCATCTTATCTTATCCAGCCTATTGTATGGTTGGGTGTTTGTAATTGCATGTAGTGAGTGGTATAGCTGAACTATTCTCTTGATTTCTTATCTTATTCGGGTCAATTAATCTAGGTTTTGTGGCTAGGCTTTTATGCTCGGCTAGTCTGACTGCCCCTGTTCTACTAACTTGACTTATGTAACTGAACTGATAACCATTGCAGCAGGGTATTAGATAAACTAAATTGTTTTGTTTTAAAGGCTCCACAGGATGATCCTTTATCCGACAAAGCTTGTTTCTAATTGAGTTTGTGGGTTTCAATGCCAGCCACTTTTATTCCTGCCTGCATTGTTAAGAATTCTGAGTAAGGTTTCCCAGGTTCCTTCCTTGTATGGAATTACTACTGATGATTTAGATTCCTTATTGTTGGTGTCACCACTAACCTGTGCATGTTTGACAGGTATTTCATCAACAATATTATTATCACTATCATTACTATCATTATTTATTTTATTTTTACATTCCCCTACATATTTCCTGACTAATTTGTCCGGATAATTATTAAGTTTCAAGGCTTCTTTTATATGTATCACCTTCTGTCTTAGATTTTCCTTGGTACTATTTAGTTTTTATGCTCTGTCATTTAAACATGTCCTCAATCCTATTTTTACTGACATAGGATGGGATGATCGGAAGTCAAAATGTCTGTTTGAGTGTGTGGGTTTTCTGTAAACACTAGTGTTTAACTTCTTATCTTCTCTCCTTTTTACGTTGCAATCTAACATTGGAAGATCACATTCCTGACTTTCCAATTTATAAGTGAAATTAAATGCCTCTACCATCGGGTTGTTGTGTTCGAAAAATCTATCTATATCTTGTGTTCTAAGTACAGTGAATGTGTCATCTACATACCTCCACCATACACAGAGTGGAGGGAGAGACTGGCGACAGAAGCTTTGTTTATCGAATCAACTGCACAAACGTGTAATAGAAATGATTCATCACCTGTCCAGTAGAACATCTGGAAAATTCTACTGTGGTGAGAGCGGGCTGCTAGCCGATTGGTTGACACTAATCTACGTTAATATGGGCCGTGAGAAAATATGAACAAGGCTGATTCAACAACCAATCACAGCAAAGTTGACGTGGCAAAATATGATTCGCAGATAGAGAACTCTATTTGTCGAGGAATCCCGAAACAACCAATCAGAAGCCTGCGTTTGTCTGTCTAACTTCTGATGAACAACCAATCAGATGACTGCGCTTGTCTATAATAATGTATGTGAAATATGTATAAATACGTGTTGATTTTCATAATAAAACGATCTGTTGCCTGGCCCTTGTCTTCTGTTGTTACACTACTACCCCAACGACGACAAATAGGAGAGAACACAGAAAACTATAAAACTCAAGTTTCAAAGTCCTATGGTTACAATTGATATGAATATGAACAAGAAATCTTGTTCGAAACGTCATTCAGTAAATAATACTGTTTCACTGACTGTGTGATACATCCAATAATAAACAAACTAATATGGAATTACTTACTATCACAGAACTTGCCATGTTATCTACATCAAAAAATCATTTATTTATGAGACAAACTCACACATTAATAAAAATGAAACACATTAAAGTTTGTGTTTTATCCTGATGTAACTGAAAAATACATCCCAGTTACTAAGAGGAGTTTCAGATTTCAGTTTTCATAGCTAGTAAAAACGGTTTCATGGACGTTTTATATGACACATCCCTTTTTTGAAATGGCGCCAAATTAATCGGATGGGAATTAGGGACTTTCAGAAAACTGACTAAAATATACCAGCATGATTTTATGGAAATTCAGTAATTTACGTTCAATTTTTGAAATTACTACCTCCTTTAATCCATCGCATTGCTCAGATATCAGTATCAAGATAGATTTAGTTTATAAAATTGCTACCAATGTAATGCAGTTCAAGAGAATAGTGTCGCCGATAACATTTATGTCAGAAAAAAAGAGTTTTTAATGAGAAATTTCATTTAGAAAACACAAAAGATGTGAGTCGTTAAACTACCATGACGACGGACTACGACGCTAAAATTTGCGGGGATTTTCAATGAAGCCACTCCGGTTTCATCCATGTGAATAATGAAACACTCTCCTCTTTTCTATATATTTACAAGTAAACTACGCTAACCATAACCCTAGCGTGTCATCGACCTACTGTCCAAACTTTTTATAAAAACGAAATTTCAAAGAAATATGTGGACCATTTCATGCACAGTGTTCATATCGTCGCTGTAAAAACTCCAGGTTCTGTGACCCAATGAATGCGATATGTATTCAAGATATTTCAGGGCTTTGCACTCCATGATGACTTTTCTGTAGATTAGCCAAATCTGTTAATCCTTAGTGACCGTTCACTTCAGAAACACATAAAAACCAAACATAATGTAGGAGATTAGCAGCTCAGGTGGATGATTTTGATGTGGTTGTGTTCTTTGAGCTGCATAGTTAATTTACGAAGCTTTCATTCCCCTACTAAGCAACATCTTTAGCGCACACTTCAATTTGTTGAAGTCAGCCTTGAGATTTCTCCACGAGTTTATTAGTCATCTCTTCTCTTCACCTTAATCCTGATTGATTGTTTCCGTGTATTTTCACACCCTCTAGACTACTCGTACTGCTACTGATTATTTCCTTTACCTGAAGTGAACTTTGATTGACGATTCACTGGAATGCCAGGCAGGCTTCTGTGAATTCTCTAGAATTCTTAGTGTTTCCACTGTCTAATATCTGAACGTTGTCTCAGTCGAACTGGTGTTTGTAATTGTCTGCATACAATGATACTCAGTTAGAGCAGCAGTAATCCAATAAAACACAAAATGAGTTGTGTACAAAAACTCTTCAATAGTACCGGGACTCATTGCAGTACTTCCACCATAAGGATAATTGAAGAAAGATATCTCACAGACGTCTTCCAAAAGAATAGATATCCACTAGAATTTCATTAAAAGACATCTACCGCCAAGCCAACACACCAAATCAAAGGCCCCAAGGAAAGCACAAAGCAAATTTAACTACCAAATATGAAAGATATTTTAGAAGTCACTGCAAGACACTTCAAACCTTTAGGAATTGATGTCGCGCACAAAGCAATATAATCGCTTCACTCAGCTAGCTCTAAGTTAATCGAACGACTCAACAGAAAAAGAAGATAAAGCCAACATCATCTACAAAATAACTTACAACGACAGCGAAAAATACTACGCTAGCCAAAATGGATTTCCTCTTTGTCTTCATATCGATGAACATAAACTAGACGTAAACAAAGGGGTGACATTTAGTCCCTCACATCAATGCATTCAGAAAGTCAAGAACTTCAGTTTGACTGAGACAACGCTCAGATATTAGACAGTGGAAACAACAAGAATGCGAGATAATTCTTAGAAGCCTGCCTGGTATTCCAGTGAATCGTCAATCAAAGTTCACTTCAGGTCAAGGAAACAATCATTAGCGATACAAGTAGCCTAGAGGGTGTGAAAACACACGGAAACAATCAATCAGAATTAAGGTGAAGAGAAGAGATGACTAATAAACTCGTGGAGAAATCTCAAGGCTGACTTCAACAAATTGAAGTGTGCGCTAAAGATGTTGCTTAGTAGGGGAATGAAAGCTTCGTAAATTAACTATGCAGCTCAGAGAACACAACCACATCAAAAACCGAATGATAAGACTTCATACTACGCAGCTGTTTAAGTGTGTGTTTTTTCCTGCTTTGTTTCTTCATTGTTCTTTTTCATCCCATTTTTTTCTCTAGCTACGCTATCGATTAAGTGAACTAAACATGGACAGTGGTTATTCAGATGGTTTAATGAATAGTTGGAATTCCTTAAATTCAACTGAACCAAATCGTGGTACAATTGTAAATCGTTTCGATCGTTGGCATAATAATACAATAGCTGTTATACAGTTACTATGTCAGTTAGCACGACGTCTAGCAACGCTAGATGCACAGCTGTATCATTGTAGTAAGCATACATATCAAGATAGTGTAGTGTTGTTGTGCAATCAAGAGGTGAATCAATCACCTTTATTTTCATCAGTTACTAATATTACTGGTCTAAATGTTTCTTCTTCGCCTGCTCTTTCATCATCTTTACCACATGAACTTTTCCATGAATTTGATAAAACAAATGGAAGTAATAAAAATGAAAAAGTAAGTGTGCATATTTATTTTTTTTTTAAATATGTTTTCCAAATTGGTTCGCATTTTTAAGACTAAACAGTTTGAAGGCAGGGTGGGGGGAATTTCTTACCACAGTTTCATGTAGAAACCAAAATTTTTCAGATCCCAATATGTGATCTGAAGTAGTATTCAAGTGTTGATTTGCAGGGATTTGGTTGGTTTCAGGATTTTATCCTGAACTGATATCGGTTAGAGGACCATTGAAAAACCTGGGAGCACTGAGCAACTGTTCCGCCCTTGTTTGGCACTCTTCATCATTATGCACGCATCGCCTTGGTTTCTAATGGAGGACCTTCTGGTTACAAGGCAACAGCATGGGGTACAGTAGGTCGGTTGTGTGGGTAAATACTCACTGATGACATTCGCTAGTGCCAGTTGCGTTATATCGTAAATTGGCAGAAGATGAAGTTCGCGCACAGAGCATTGGGTCGGGTCCCAGTGGCTTAGTGGTCTACGAGTTCTGCTTGTAACCGGATGGCTTTGGGTTTGAACTTTAGTGGTGCGGACTGTCGAAGAGTGCTAAACTAAGATGAAACATCTGTCCAGTAGTCACAGGTTCTTCAGCGGTCCTCTAACCGATGTCAGTTCATGATAAACTAGTAGTGTTTTCCAACCAGATCGATCTGAGTCAAACTTAGTTCACAGTTGATGAACTTAACCTTAAACGAGCGAAATTGCCGTCAAATGTTTAGATCACCTGGCTAGCAAGTACTAATGGTTGATATGAATGGTCCGCAACTATTCATATCAGTTAATTAGTAGTATATGGTTTTAAGCAAAATATTCTTGCTTTACCTAAAAAGTGCCATCTAAAAAGTTTCCAACAGGCTATTGCAGACTTTCATCAAAATTTACCCACTTTTCCCCATAGTGAAGACCATATGGTCAACCACAAAAAGGAGAATAAGTGAAAAGGAAGTCTGACAAGCAATGAACTAGTCAACAAAGTTCGCCTGGCCCGATCAATATGCAGAAGGAAATGGATTTCTTTAAGTGATATCGCAGACCAGAACCTAAGATAGGTCTGAGAATGACATTTTGAAGACCGTGTGAGGAGAAAGTGAGAACTTGTGGTCCTAACTAGTATATGTGATTGGGAAGGGAGGGAACAAACAGTGATAGAAATAAGTAGTCAAGCCGAAAACCAAAGAGATTGCAGAACAGGACTTAGGCAAATATGTACTTTCCGCAAAATCTAATCAGGCTTGACAGCCACATAATAAAGCATTAGTAATGCACATTAGTGTGTCACTTGCAGAGGCTAACTATTCTAGGTTCGAGGTGAAGGCCACGGGAAGGAGAGGAACTATACAACTTTTTTTCTGAACGTAGAGACTGAGTTTAAGATCTTGTTATGAAAACTGACTCAGTTATGTTTAGCAATCAAAGGCGTACAAACTTAGGGAATTGAGTTAGCAGCTTGTATAGGATTATAAAGGCTGAATTCTTATCAATTCTGTAGTTTTTAACCGTTAGGTATTTTAATGGGAGGCTCCTAATCGACTTTACGGCTGTTTTACCTGACCACTTTGAACAACGCTTAAGAAGATGATAATGGGCTTACTCAATCGTCCTAACTATATAAGGGTCTGCATAAGAACGCTTAAATCAACAAAGGTATTCATTAATTTATAATAACTAGAACGCAAATTTGAAAGTGAATTCATCTGATTCCAGCCGAGTTATTCTCATAATACTATTGACTGAATTAAAACTTTGCATAGAAGTCCAGCGGTTCAAATCGCCACACTTTACAAATCACACAATCGTAGAAAAATATTCATAGAGTCTGTAACGAACAGAAATGTACAAGAAGAAGTATAAGTATATAGAAAGTGATGAGGATTTAGTGGATCTAGAAAATTATGATGAGTGAATTCCCCTGCTTTACCGAGAACCATTTAAAGCAGTATCTCAAGTCATTAGTTCTTGGCGTCCCGAAGACTCCAGTCAGGCAGTCTAAAACCTTCGTATATGGCTGTTTCACACCAAAAGTCATAGACTTCATGGATTCAATTTCATGTTTACGTCTGACCACAACCAATCCTACGTCAGCTAACAGTGCTTGTTGAGGAATACAGTGGCTTGGCATACTGAGTACATGTCCTAACCATCTCAGTCTATATAGCTTCCCATCTTACTTAACATCCTACACCTAACGTTGCAAACATCTGTAGTCAAAGAGAGCCTCTTCAGGTCTTCTAATTTCACCATCCATTTCACACAGATATAAGGAATTACAACGCGACCTGCTGAGTAGCTTACACATCCTTTGATAGACAGCCAAAGGTGAGGAAGATTAGCAAATGTCCAACGAGCTTCTTGTATCCGTATTGACCTTGTAAACCATACTTAAGAGATGGAGTTTACGTTATGTGTGTGAAATGTAAATCACTCCCCTATCATTACTACTAACCATGTAATTTAAGCCTACCCTCAGTGAAAATGGAGATCACTGCACTGACTACTTTCGCTTACACCAATAATTCAACGAATCCAGATGAAGTATCTTATGAAATCGTTTTCATATATACATAACACAGCCAATAAGACACTAAAATAGTTGGAAAATGTTTAGTACATACAAATGTACGATAAACCTTATAAGTCTTTATTCATAGAGATTTTCAGTTATGTGTTAGTACTTAATTTTATGGGGATTGAGTTACTAGTCTCACACCCAACCCATCCTCTCTACTGAGCTTGTTGGCTGTTAGGTGAGATTTAGGAGTGCGTCGACCAAGAATCAAGCCTCAAACTAATTGCGTGTCTGGTGAGCATTCAACCACTGACTCATTGACTTGTGAGTTTATCGAATGGAAGAAAATAATTACAAAAAAGAACAGCGTTTGTGCAAAGGAAGCTCATTTCTTTAGAATAGATTCATTTTTACTCATACACCTAATCGTGTATCAAAGTATAATGTACAGCTGATACATAGATAATTGAGTAGGGTCAACTACATAGGTCATTCTGTTAGATTAAGATCATTTAGTGCATTGATAGTGCTTTTCGGGAGATGCTTCTTCAAGAATTTAAAACATTTATTTCCCTGATACGAATTTAAAACAAGCAATAAAGGTAAATAAAGCAGGATTTAATGAATTCATCAAATTTCGGTAGAACTCTTCCTCGGCTGAATACTCTACACACACGGATATATATACTTTTGACATTACGTTGGGAGATATAAGACGACTGATAAGTAAACAAACTACATTGAATTAGTCATGTAGAAAGACACGTGCGAATGTTTTCCAGGTCATGTTCAAATAGATAAGCGGAGAAAGAGTATGAGAGATCAAAATTAAGATAAATCGCATTAGGCTACAATTACATCACTTAGATAAACAATTAGTCATTAGAGAATACAACAAGAATTGCAAACAGACTAATATCACATTAATAATAGTTATGATAACAATAATAATAATAATAGCGTTAAAGTGAGTTAAGATAATCCTACTGATAGAGGATAGTTTTAAATGAATCAAGAATAATAATAACGATAATAATAAGAGGTAGAATAATAAGTAAAACGTGTTACCCTGGTAGATTCAGAGTCACTACCATCTCCTTTTACACGCAGAGAACTGGTTTATAATCCCGAATTGTGCAAGCCTCTGCAATTGCAAGCATCTTCTTGTTTCTTTGTCTGCTGACAATAGTGAATGACTTGACCGCGTCGATATCATGTGCGTAATTCACAAGATGTTTTGTTATTGAAGATTTTGACACTGCATTTGGCTGTTTTCTACCATTTTTGGCAAATGCTCCATCATACGAGTAGACAATCGCATTTCCGTACGACCTATGTATTTGCTTTCGCAAACACACTCAAATTGGTATACGCAATTTGAAGTGTCGAGGATTGGTGACTGGTCTTTCCCAGATTGTTGAAGCACTCGCTTAGTGGTGTTAAGGATAACAAGTTTTGCAGCAATAATAAGTTCTCTTGATGGCTTTATCGAGTCTTCGTTTGACTACTTCATGTAAATCATCTCCTTTGAACGGCAAACTGATATAGACAGGTTTCTTCGGAACTGTTTGGATTGTTTCGTAGGGGCTAATTTCTTTAGAGTATTTATTAATGAACTTCTCAGGATATCCACTGTTAGGTAAAATATCCTTCAGAGATTCTATTTCATGCTTAATAGTACTGTCAGAACAAATGTTTTTCGTGCTCTATTGAACAGTGTTCTAACAAAGTTCTTTTTATACTGGATTGGTACAAAGCTCTTGAAATGCATGTACTATCCTGTCCATGAAGACTTTCTAAATATAGATCTTTCGATTGCACCATCATTCTACCGAAATTTGATGAATTCATTAAAGGCTGCTTTATTAACCTTTACTGCCTGTTTTAGATTAGGATCAATTAGGTTATTGAGATATAAGAATTTGCTAAAATGTAGAATAAGTGAACCCAGAAAAGGTGATTAGTTTAGAGAAGAATTCACCAATCGCAATGCATGCACTGACACACAATCAAACAATAGGATGGGACAAAGTTACAGTTCTACCATGTACTACAGTCAATCACAGGGGAGGGGGAGGGGAATTTGATCACTGAATCTTTCTCGAATCTTCCAGTACTATACATAACGCCTTTCTCAAAACATCTTTTCATTTTTCTCCTGTTTCAGATACAAATATTAGAGCAACAAAGGCAATTGATTACACAAATTAAAGAGGCACAATCCTTGAGGGCTGAACTAGAAACCTGTCGACGACGTCTACTAGAAAGTATACCACCAAATTTAAAATGTGACCTGACGCATACAATTTTAGGCAAACTAGGCAGAGATTTTAATGATGAAAAGAGTAATTGTAAATTATCAGGGGATAATAACACTAATAATCATTCAGCTAGCCTACATAATAGTAATGAGAATACATTGAATGATTTCTCGGAATCCCCTTCAACAGTTTCTCCAAACCGACGACAACAACAACAACAACAAAATGGTGATAATAAAATCGATATGCATGGTAAAACATTAACAATCACTTATGATAATGATAATAATAATAATAATAATGACGATGAAGGCAGCTTAAATTGTCAAGAGAAAAGTTTAACACTGACACCAACGACAACAACATCCCAGTTTCTTAGACAACGTGTTGCAGAACATTTAATTGAATTTTTAAACTGGTTTGTACTCTCACAAGTAAGTTGATAAATTATTCATCTAATTACATAAATATATATATATCTTTTATAAAAGTGCCTTTCTTGAAATGCACACTGAATGTTCAGTTTTTATTTAATAATAATAATAATGATTTACTTTATTCCAAAAACAGCACTTGTGATACAGAATGAAATTTTCAGCATTAATCACAATATTACTGCATCTAATTTCCTCAAATTATAAATAAAATTAATCACACAGAAACTTTTCCACATTTACAATAGGTGTAATGTCAAAAACATGCAGCATATAAAATGGAAATAGCAATAATAATGATAACAGCTAGGGTAATAATAATAAGAATACAAGCGAAATTTGCCGTGGGCTTGTTTCACACAGTATTGTCAATGAGGTATAGAAATCCTAACATATTTAAAACTATTGAATATAATGTTCTTTCTACATGATATGATGAGTGGAAAAACAAAGAATACAGCAGTCATAGAGATAAGTTAGTGTTTGCAGTTATGAGAGTAAAACAAAGAAGTAACAGGACCATAAATATAATAGAAATAATAAAAGTAAAACTTGAAGGTACACAAGGATGGATGGATGGAGGAAATGGTTTATTTACTATATGAGAAAAGTTTAGTCAATTCTTGCCTGACACTATTTTCTTCACATAAAATACGTGCCAACTAGGGTATCGTAGAACTTCTATACTTGGACGTGCGAGCATACAGTTTTCTGAAGTTACTTCTTGTTCTACCTGAGGAGATGCAAGGTGAAAGCTGAGGGTAGAGTGGATGCTCCAAGTCAGACAAAATCCCTTTAGCAAATTTATTGCACGAAGTCAAGCGCCCATCGATAACAACATTGACTATGTGGTCCACTGGGACACCACTCACCCTACTGACTGACAGTCTTCAGCATTCTACGAATTGTGACATAGTCCTTTTTAAGCAAACCAAGAAAGAATAAGGGTGAACAATAAAGAAGAATAGGTAGGATGCAAGAGTTTATGAACTGTTGGAGAAGGGGTTAAGTTATACCCGAGTGCCTTAACTTCTTAATGTAAAATGTCAGGCGGAATATTTTACTAGAGATCGCTAAGACATGGGGAGACCTGGAGAGATCAGAAGAGAGAATAAGTCCAAGATACTTAATTTCTGATTTGATCCCTATATCATTGTCGCCAATTTCACAACTGTCATGAGAATCGATGACTTCTTTTAACTGTCTTTTACATCTTAAGCTGAAATTAACAGTTTAACATTTAGAAGGATTGAGTTTAAGACCGTTAGACTCTGACCATTTGCTGACTCCCGACAGAAAGGTATTTATTTTGGTACAATTTAGCTTGGAGTTAACAGCTATTGAAACTGTTAAATCATCAGCATACTTCACAAAGTTTATTTTATCAGGGTGAGGCAAGTCATGTAAGAAGAAAGAAAAAAGAAGAGGAGAAAAGACAGCGCCTTGAGGGACACCAGCTTCAGTAGGCAATGAAGTGGAAGACTTCCCTTTATACACGGAAATATACAGACACAATTTGTCGGTACATGGATGATGATGATGATGATGATGAAAAATGAGGAGGAAGCAAAGAATATCCTGCATAAATTTAACGAAGTTCATCCTGCAATAAAATTTATTATTGACAAAGAAAGAAAAAGACTCTAGTGCTTCATTTCTAGACGTCGTAATGACCGACCGGAAAGGAGGACGGCACAAAAACCTACATCAACTGACTGTCAGTATACTCATTTTTTTTAGCTTCGTGCTCTTGAAATACAAACGCCATCTGATAAAGTACTTGGTTCATAGAGTAAGAGCAATCTGTTCGGATGAATATCTTCATGAGCAACTTGATAATATTAAACGGTTACTGAGTGAAAACGGTTATCAAGAAAAATAATGTCAATCTGAAACCGAAGCAACCCAAGGCACCAACAGTTCCTAAAAAGGCCTTATTTTTTACAAATTCAGTTCCTCGGGGACAATATCAGCGAGATACTAACACAACGCCTTAGAAACGTGGTAAAAAGAGCATTCCCTGCTGCTCAGTCACACTGTGTCTTCAAAACCAATCCTCTTTTGCGTTCGAGAGTAAGAGATAGACTGCCTAATTTCTCCTCTTCCATGTTCATCCACCAATTTATCTGCTCCCATGGAGCAGTTTCTGTGGATTTCCCGAACATCACCCTGCGTGGTTAAGTAAACAAAAAAACAAAATCTATTCGTAGCGCTATTCTATCTCACCTTGTGGATACAGAATACAAGATTGATGTTAACAAGGTGGCTTTCAAAGTCATTTACCGCATACCAACAAATCTTAACTTCTCAATAGTTCGTTTACTAAATATTGCTGAGACTGTTGGAATCCACATTGAGAAGCCTAATTTATGCGTCCAAAAGAAGCTAGTTGTTTCAGACATTGTCCTTACCTTTGTCATCTAGTTTTGAATGATCTTCAATTTTTATGGAATTTTCCTAATTTTAGTTGATATTCTATTTGCTGTTATATCTTTATTATTATTATTATTATTATTATAATTTAAGCATCTTCAATGAACTGTAATTCCATTCACCTTACTTTACAAAATCGGTAGTATTTAAAATAACACTAATATTGTTACTGACTACTATTCTAGAATATTTTATGTATATGCATCGGTGGCACAGCGGTTAGGACTCTCATCGACCATGCACATTGTCCAGATTTCGATCCCTTGCCAATGCACACTTGATATCAATGGTTGGCCAGGAAAATTTGGGCTGCCGATATCACATACTGAAAATTTCATACTACTTGTGCCAAAAGTACGGTGTGGAGTCAGGCTATAATCAAAATAAATGTAAACATATATAATTAATGTCAGTAAAATGTTTGATCATGTGGAATAGATCTAATAGAGTATAGATCAAATAAAGTTCTTGGAACAAAACTTTATTTACAAAAGAATGGATACTGAACAAAGAGTACTCTTTTCGACAACCCCTTCGTCATCAGGCTCTACAGTTATACATACATTATAGTGAATGAATGAATTAGTTTCATGAACAACATTAATGTTGCTGTTTGAATGATATCGAATCAATAATACTGAAAGATTACAGCTCAATAGCATCAACATAAAATAAGCTTAATGTTAGAAAAATTAGGAAGTATCATATTACAAATTCATGAATTTATAGTCTCTACTGAAGGCTGGTCAGGGCAGTATTATTCGCTGGCTGGACTTGCTTCTTTTGCACACAGAGCACTGGTTGTTTGAGGAGAACTGAAATAGCCTCTGCTGTTTAGAGCATGCGGTACTTCCACGATTCTGTCAATTTATTAGGCACCCGGTAGATGATGATAGAAGAGGATTCTTCCACGCTGGCTGGCTTTGTGTTCGGTTCGCACCAGACGGTCTAATATCGAACTGTTAATGGTTTTCAGTACACCTTTACTTAGCCATAGTAGGATATGTTCTCAAGTCAGCACGAGAAATCAAGTTCCTAGGGCAACGGCCAATATAACTCGCTCCACCATCAGCGCAGTTGAATTGGTAAATACAATTTGAAGTGGCCAGCTAGTCTAGGTACTTCATATTTCAGCTGAGGTAGCACCATCGGTCGTGTAGAGAATAAGACGTGTAGTTCGCCAGGATTAAAAGATCTTCGAACTGATTTTCCTTATTTCCTCGCAATTATCTCACTTAGTATGTCGCCCTAGAACTCTATATTGATATATATATTATTGTAGAGCCAGAAAAAGAAATTATCGAAAGAAAAGATGTTCTTTGCTCAATTATTTCGTGTTTTACCAGCAAGTGTTAAAGAAAGTATATATATATATATATATATATATATATATATATATATATATTTGAATAAGGCATTAAGAAGACAAATTTCGCGAGATGATATCATCATTTCGTAGTTTCTTTACAACCGCTTTACAACTAACATGGTTAACAATTACTCAGTTAAATAAAAAACAAAAGTACATATTAATGAATAATCATATTTAGATAGATCATGTTGTCCATGGTAACCGAAGATTGAATTCTACTGATTTTTGTACACACAGCTTAGGCTGTATGTGATTAATCCAAAGTGGTTCCATCACCTTCAATAACCTTGAATTAGAATTATGTGGTGAAATAATTGTGAAACAGTCATTAATATTGATTTTGTGACCTGACATTAATAAGTGCTTTGCAATGGATGATGCTGGATTTCTATTCAGATTGATCGTGTTAGGATTTTCGATATGATTTAATAACCATTTTGGAACATGTTCTTTGCGATGACATTGGAACATTCTATTGGTTCTACCTATATAAGTGTCACCGCAGCTGCAGGTGAACTTATAGATACAGTTTGAAGTAGAGTCCACAGAATTTCGTCCTTTAATCGTAGGTAGGTACAGGGATGGAAAATGTTCGGCAGGTGAGAAAAAGTGATGCGGCGTAGAATGTGCGTTTGATGGCTGACCAAAGTCTTTGAGTTAGCTGTCAACTGCATGACCTAGTCGCCCTTGAATGGTAGGTTAATAAAGACAGCTTTCTTCTGTACAGAAGCTGTCTCTTTGAGATGTGGACTTTCTTTACTGTGACAAGTGATAAAGTTCTCCGGACAACCATTAGCTAATCAAACTGAATGTATATGTCGAAACTCATCCTTCAATGTGTCACTCGTGCATATTTTTCGGGCCCTTGAGAACAAACGTTTATTTCACTAGGAAACGTTTATACTGGATAGGAACAAAACTGGTAAAATGAAGATATTGTCCACCCCATGTCTGTTCACGAAAAATAGATGGCTGAATCGTACCATCATCTCTCCTAGTCATAGCAATATCCAGGAAACTGAGTTTGTTATTCGATTCTAGTTCGAAAGTCACTCGAATATCCGGATGCATACGATTAAATGGGGTAATAAAGTTTTCAATAGATTTATTATTATTACCAATAATTAGAGTATCATCTACATAACGTTTATACAGCATAAATTCTCCAAGCATACCTTGCATTTGTTCAATCTTCAATCTTCGCCTACCATGGACTACATGACCTTTTAAATATGATTGGTCATTAGTATGTACTTTTGTTTTTTATTTAACTGAGTAATTGTTAACCATGTTAGTTGTAAAGGGGTTGTGAAGAAACTACGAAATGATGATATCATCTCGCGAAACTCGTCTTCTTAATGCCCTATTCAAATTTATCAAAGGGACTAATTGTTTTAATATATATATATATATATATAATGTCTTTCCCTTTTATTTATTTATTTTTATGTAGATATTTGAAACAGAGATTAAAGTGGATCAAGACCTTTGGGAAAGTATCCAAGATGAATTAAGACTGGAGTTATCTTATTAGATTGAACAATCAATGATTTCTTTCCATCTACGCTTCCTTTCTTCCCATTCACCGATTTACTCGATCAATCGATCAATCAATGAATCAATCAGCGAATCCATCAGTCGTCACTCATCCACTCACTATCTCCACTAGCTAACTAACTAACTATTTAACCAACTGCCTCATTTTTGTAAATTTGAAAATGAAAAATATACTAAAATATACGAATAACCAAATGTGTACACCTGTCTCAAACGGCTGAGAAGTATTCAACATTAAACATTTATCTCTCTGAGTAATATAAATATACATATATATATATATATATATATATATATTACATGTGATATTGAGAACAAACTATATAAGCATTAGAGTTTTCATTTCCCCCTCCGCCTTTCTTGTGTATTTATTTTACTTCCAGTAATCTCTGCTGAGATATCGCCATTTCTTTTCTCTTTTCTTTTTTCATAAATTTTCAAAAATTGATTACTGCTCATAAACACAGTCAACAAATGATGTTACACCTTTTTTTGATCGATTTCCTTTACACATCCCTTTGTTAAATCATCACTATTATGCGTGTGCGTAGTGTATGCGTGTGTGTGTGTGTGTGTGTTTGTGTGCATACGTGTGAAGGCACCAAGGGGATTGAAATCGTCTACTGACTAATGCTCACTGACTACTACCTGTTCTACCGTCGCATCGATTCCATTTTGTATACCATCTGTTTATTTTGTTTTTTCCTCTTGATTGGATGTTTGTTTGTTTTTTTTCTCAGAAAAGCGCGTCATTTACTTTCGTCCATTTTTTGTTTTCATTCACTTTCTACGCCAACCGCCCATTCACCCCACCGCCATCATTTCATCGGATAAGTAGATTAATATTCACTGTGCTGTTTACAGTTGCTGTTTTTCGTATTATATTTTTTTCCCAATTCTCTGATTGTTTTCTATCCTTTTCGACTTTTATTGCCCACTTTTTATGGGTCTCTCTTTCTCTTTCTGTGTGGGTCTATTAATAATGTAAAACTTATTCTTCTTGTCCCATATATATATACATATATCCATTGATGTTGCCTGTTGTCAAGATGATCTATACAGAAATATCCTGTATTATTATTATTATTATTACATCGACATCACATGGTGGCTTATTTAGTAAGCAATAATTATCCTGACAATATCAGCCAGCTTATTATTGGAAAGATTATAAAATATTATTATGATTATTAATGATTATTATTATTATCATTCTTTATCTTAATAACAGAGTGGCATCTTTTTATTCTCAAATGTGAAGAAAATTAGACATGAATTCAATCAAAATCAATTGTTCTCTTCTTCATATTGAAATCAAAACAAGATTTTGAGCGAACAATTGTGGTTTCGATAACTTCTTCTTCAGGCTCTACAGTTATAAATCCATGATTAATAGAGTACATATAACCAATAAAGGCAAATGAAAATAATATCAGAAACTGTATTGGGGTGCATGTGTAAGTTGAGGTGATAGTCCATTAGTTAGCATAGTCAATTAAATGTGTATAGGGTGTTTAGTCAGAAAAATGTGATGAAGTGTGAATGAACAATTAGGTGATATAGTGCTGTTTTATAGTTAACAGAATACAAGTGTCATTTACAGTTGTGTATCGAGTACCGTACAATCTCCCCAAAGGCACACGATTACGCCTCCTAGCCATAGCTGAGGTTTTAGAGATTAATAGAGAAAGACCAGATCTATGTGTACAGAAAAAACTTATTCACTCTCTTTGTCTACCATGGCCCACTATAAGGTCACCAGGATCATAATTTTTTCGTACTATTATCATCATTATAGGTTTCCAGACCGTAGATGTTATGAATTTCCTGGAATAATTTGAGCGCCGAGTCAGATTGATTCATTATAAATTATTTAAATTAATCCCAGCGTATTAAGAAAATCAAAACAAGATTTTTCTGAACGTTTCGCTGTGTAAGCCACAGCTTCTTCAGCAGATTTATTCGGATTATAATTAATCATCAAAATATATAGTCAAAAATTTTTACATATAATGAAGTCCTCATTATTATTATCTTGTGATATCATGTCTTTATTATCCATTTCTCCACCCAGTTTATTTCACTTCATTGTTACCCTTATTTTTGTCAACCTTTATGGTTTTATACTAAGCCTACCAATTCTGTAGCATTTTATTACAATTTACAAATTAGCCTCTTCATTTTATCATTAGACATTATCGTTCATGTCATGGACTATCCCCAATACAGTTTCTGATATTATTTTCATTTGCCTTTATTGGCTGGCTATATGTACTCTATTAATCATGGATTTATAACTAACTGTAGAGCCTGAAGAAGAAGAAGTTATCGAAACCACAATTGTTCGCTCAAAATCTTGTTTTGTTCTCATCTTACTTGATTGGATACTAGTGGACAACTAGTATGATGTGTCTGGTTAGTCTTTTCTTTGTTTGGTGCAGAGTGAACTCTATCAGTCAGGTTTCGCAATCTGATCACCATTCTAGTTGGGTAGCTCGCTTTCACGGTGAACAATGATTTGATGATATTAGTTGTGTTTGGAGGCAGTCGGCTACAAGAAGGCTTACTCGATCTAGGTTTCGTGCTTGTTGGCCAATCACCAGTCATCAAGGCGTATCTGCAACCAACCCTTCTGAGATTGGAACCCATGGCATGCAGTCAGAGACGTTATTACTGAGCTACAGGAGGTCAATCGCGAGCCGCGAATAGCTGCTTAGTGGTAACGTCGCTGACTGTAGCACTGAATGACGAGGGTTTGAATCGTAGAAGAGAGATGAGTTCCCTCAAACTGGTTGCAGATACGCCTTGCTGGCTGGTGAGTGCCAACTAGCACGAAACCTAGGTCAAATAAGGCTTCCTGTGGCCAATTGCCGCCAACCATCTAATATCATCAAATCGATATCCCCCTCTTCTGTTTTATATACAAAGAATAAATTTACCACTATGGCAATTTGTTCCCATTATAAATTTTGAAAACAAAAAGAAAATAAAGAGATTTCTCAAGAACTTCATACAATTAACTCCCCTTAATGAATTTGAATAAAGCAAGAATAAGAGTGGTTTGTGCAGAATAATATGTTACCATCATTGTTTATTTCGTTGGCTCCTCATCAGCTGCTTACAGCTAATATAAATTATTATTATTATCAAGTTTATGCACAGAACAGCTGCAGCATACCAGCAAAGTTTACATGACGTCAATTAGTGATAGGACGTTCCGACCTTAGCGAACAGTGCTCAAAAAATTACGCTTATATAGGTTCTGTACAGGCAGTTCAAGCTTGAACAAAATAAATGTGTTGAATACGATGGTAAAGGAGTTAGATAATAAAGAAGAGAAATGCACTAGACGATGAGTAAATAATAAATTGGGTAGCGATGTACTCAACTCAAACCATAGGAACAAAAGACAGGCAAAATTACATTATATCAAAGGGTGGATGTGATGTTTAAGCCAAAGAATATGTAATCAAATGAAAGAGGGAATAAAGACATTCAGTTACCATGAAGCACAAGAAAAGACTGATAATTGCTTCTTTCTGAACACATACTTCAGGTTTCATGTGTCTAATAGAGACTACTTCGGCAAACTTGAGGAGAATTGAGCATTTTTGTTCATTGATAATTTTCAAGGATTTTGCGATTTCCACCTCATGACCCGTATCAAGGAGATGCCTGGTAACTGCCCTACTGTAAGCGTTTATTCCCTTGAGGTGTAAGCTTTTTGGTAGATGTTCAGAAAGTCGGAAGTGTGTCCTTCATTCTATTCTCCTAATGTAACTGCTCACGTAGATACACACAAATTTCCTTACACAGTTGGAGGAGAGTATCTGTCGACTTTCGACTGCACCAAGGAGTATGTTCTCCGATAGACGCGAACCAACTTAGCTAGCTGCAGGATAGGCTTTAGCTAGTGATGTCCTCAATCTTCTGTTGACTATTTCTGCAATATTCTCACCTTTAAAAGCGAATCGATTAATGACAGGCTTTTATCTCACATCTTCCAAATTTGTTAATGTATCTCTGAGAGTAACCATTATTTTTCAACATCTTTTCGACAATCATAAATTCTACCTCTAATTTCTCTGTTGAGCATATTCTTTTAGCTGTATAGTACACAGTCTTGACTATTCCTCGGTGACGTCGGTGGCACAGTGGTTAGGACTCTCGCCGGCCACGCACATGGTCCGAGGTTCGATCCCCTGCCGACGCACACCTGATATCTATGGTCGGCCTACAAAATTTAGGCTACCGATATCCATGCTGAAAATTCCATACCTGCACCAAAAATACAATGTGGAATCAAGCTGTAATAAAAAAAATCTATTTGGACAAAAACTATTTGAATGTGGGTATTATCTTTTCCATATAGGCTTTCGATAAATTGACTTCTGGAGACTACCATCTTCTAGGGGCGGTGGATGCCAATGTTATGGAAGTGGAATTTTCCATCTTTCTCATATTCCATAGTAAACTCAGAATTGGGATATGCGCCGATGAATAATCTGAGTAAGTAAGAAACATGACTTTCATTGTTACACACTACAAATGTTTCATCGACATATCGACAATAAGAAGTTGTTTTGTCGATTGCATGAAGGTATTTGTTAAAACAGGACTAAGTGGACTGCCCATAGCGATACCATATGTTTGATGGTAAACGGTGTTGTCAAACTGGAATTGCACATTCATGGTACACATTAGCAGCAGGCATTTTAATTCCGTCTCTGAAAGTGGGAGGAGATCAGGCTACTGATCTCGATGATCTCGATAGTTTCATCGATTGCGGTTCTTGTTAACAAGGAGGTTACATCAAAGGACGCCATGAACTTATTTTAAACGTTCGGTGTAGTTCACACTTTCGGTAAAATTAAATGAGTCTTTTATGGTGTACAAAGCCAGCCGTTGACCAATTGGTTCCAGCTTCTCTTCATGCCAACAAACGACCTTATGTTGCGACGAATTGATCATCGAATGTATAGGTCTCAGGAGGAATTGTTTTCTGGTTGCCTTTATTAGGCTAAACATGTACGTTGACTGACATCATGTGAAGTTTGGCATTATGTTGAAAGTTTTCTGTACATAAACTTAATAATAATTTTTGTCGTCTGTAAGCAGCTGATGAGAAGCCAACGAAATAAAGAATGATGGTATCATATTATTCTGTACAAACCACTGTTGCTCTTGCTTTATTTAAAATGAGGAAATGTAACTTCTAATTCGTAATTTCCGATTTACACAGTTCATGTAGGTGAGATTTATTTCTAGGAGTTTGACCACGGATTGATATCAGTTAGAAAACCATTGAAAACCAACACCGGAGTACTGGACAGCTGCTGTTTCATCCCACTAGTTTGGGAATCATCGACAGTACGCACCCATTGCCAGGGTCCAAGCCCAGGACCTTCCGGTTACAAGGCAAGCTGGCTCGTATACCATTCAGCCACTGGGACCCTATTCGTTGGCTCATGAATTCTAGCTTTTCTTGTAACCGGAAGGTCCTAGGTTCGAAGCCTGGCGGTGGTGGGTGCGTACTGATGATGAAATAGCTGTTCAGTACTCCGGTGTTGGTTTTCAATGGTTCTCTAACTGATATTAATCTGTGGTTGAACTCGTAAACAAATAAATCTAATCCTTACAAACCAACAAAGCAAGGATCGGGAAAGCAAGACAAGCTTTCATTACTCTCAAGTCTGTTTGGAGGTCAGCAGCACTCAGCATAAAAATAAGATACGGATTTTCAACTCTGATGTCAAGTCAGTGCTACATACTCTACGGATCAGAGACTTGGTGCATCATGAAGAACACCTCAAAAAAAACTACACACCTTCATCAACAGCTGTCTTCGCTCAGTACTTCGCTGTCTGTCTGTCTGTCTGTTTTCGACATAGAACTTTGCACAAATGTGCGGAAGTTCAAGTCGCCACATTCCGTGTAGCACGCGAAGCAAGAGAAGAAAGTACAAGAAAAGCATAATAGAAACAGTAAACAGAGGTGTGAGACAAAGGAAGAGTAATAACGAAGAACAAAACAGTTTCATTGGAGATCATAAGTCACAAGGAGTGGATGCATCTGCGCCCGCCACTGAAAACGATTTTGAGCCATGTCACCAATTGTTTCCAACCATTGGTTTTTACCGTCCCGAGGACCCCAGCCTGGAAGTCTACACCTTTCTACGTGGCTTAGACCAACTGTTGTGGATTTCATTGACTGGTGCAGCCAAGTTTTTGTTTGACCGCCGCTAGCTTTTTTCCAGCCTGACCCTATATCCGCTAACATTGCTCGTCGAGGGAGGCGATGACTTGGCATACGTAACACATGTCCTAACCATCTCAGTCGATGTAGCTTCACGACTTCGTCGATTGATTTCCCCTGTTTACCTAGAACTCGACGCCTAACCTCCATGTTGCTCACCTTATTATGCCACTCTACACGGGAAATAGAGTGCAGGCACCTATGATCAAAGACAGCTAGTCTTTTCATGTCTTCCACTCTCAATGGCTAGGTCTCACAACCATAAAGGAGGACGGAGCGGACTGATGAGC